TATCATTTTAAATGTCCTTGCTTTGTTTTGTTTGTATTTTGCTATTGTTCTTGTATCTTTTTTACTATTCTCTTTAAAATTCAAAAAAAAAAGCTGATGTGGGCAACATAGTGAGACCCCATGTCTAAAAACAAATTAAAAAAAAAAAAAAAACCCCTTTATTACAAGTTTTGTTTAAAAAAGAATTAAATAATGAAATATTCCAAATTAAACACTAAATAATGGACTATTACGAGAAAAAAGGGAAAAATACAGAGACACCTGAAAGTTCCAATTCGGTGTTAATTTTGAAGGAGCATTTTGAATACGGTATTACATGTTTTCTTAAGCAATGAAATATTAATATAAATTGCATTTTAATATAAAAATTTGATTCCCACTCTGTTCTTTCCAATTTATTGCAAATAAAAGCAAAATATTCAATGAACCCCAAGTTTTACAACAGGAAATTAATGATATGATCAAGTGGTCTTATAGACCAAGGAAGCAAACTTCACTTAGGCCACAAAATTAGGCTTCACGAGCTATATAGTCTCTTTCACAAATACTCAATTCTGCTATTTTAGTGCAAGGGCAACCATAAAGGATACATCAAATGATTGGGCATGGCTATGATCCAGTAAGTCTTTACGGACACTAATGTGTGACTTTCATAAATTTCACATGTTATCAAAGGGCACGTTTTATTTTTTCCAATCATTTAAAATGTAAAACTCGAGGTGGGCAGAGGGTGGATATAGCTTAGCAACACAGTGCCTGCCTGGCAAGCATGAGGTTGTGAGTTTGATTCCCAGTCTCCCCCCAAACAATAAATAAAATAAAAAAAAAAATAAAATGTAAAACTCAGGCCAAGGATATAGCTCAGTAGCACAGCACCTGCTTGGCAAGCTCAAGGTCCTAAGTTCAATTCCCAGTACAAAAAAAAAAAAACAAAAAAAACCCTAAAAATAAATAAATAAATAAAATGTAAAGTTCATTTTACCTTTGCATCATACAAAGTTTGCTGATCCCTGCTGTAAACCCATCTATTTCATTAAGAACACTATTCCTGTTAGAAAAATGTTTTAAAAATTAGATCAATAAATTACTCATGGTTTTAACATTTGCATTCTACAAACTCAAAATTCTTATTTTTTCTCCATCACTTACAAAATAATCCTTCAAACACTAAAACTGCAAATAACACATCCAATCTTCATTGCCAAAACCTCTCTCTTGAGAACAGGAACAACTTTATCCTTACAGCTCTTGGTTAAAGAACTATGAATACCACATACTGTTCAAAGGACAGTTCTTTCATCTGCATCAGTGGGCTCCACAGCCAGGATGCGAGCAGCAGAAAATTATGTATGATGCTGTCAGACCTATGATGACTGTGACTACACAGAACACATACAGACTGATCTTACGAATTCCCTAATAGAGTATGATATCGCATTTACGTTGTATTAGTGTTATAAATAACCTAGAAATTGTATTTAAAGGATACAAGACAATGTGCACAGGTTATATTCAAACACCTATTTTATAAAAAAGACTTGAGCACATCCCTTAGATAAAATAAAGGCACTCCCGAAACCAATCATTACAGATGCTTAAGAGACAACTGTTTAAAAAGAACCCACACATGCCTTGTCAGCCCTGCCATTATCCCTTTCCCCTGGAATACTGCAACTGCCTTTCAGCTAGTACAAAGGGCAAAACAGGGTTATTTTCCTTTTCACTATACTCTCACAAACTTGCAGCAGACTTCAGTGATGTTTTCCCCTCACACCAAACAATTCTCCAGCAAACACCAATTGGATGCACTATTCCACAATTCAATTCTGATGCTATCTACCTAGACAGCAAGCAGCTGTGAATCCGACATCCAATGGGTACCCTACAATTCAAGTCAATTCTGATGTTACGTACCCGGAGATAATGTCAAATCCCACACCGTGAGGCTCGGCCCCACGAGACTGCTCCCCTTCAGGTGTCAATTGCCAAGTCCAAGCTACTTGCTCTCCTGACCAATTGGCTACAATCAGGTTTCTAAACCCCTCCATGGGTGCAACTGATTTGCTAGAATGGCTCACAGAACTCAAGAAACACTTGTACTGGTTTATTCGAAGATTATACAGGACACAGATGAAGAGATGCGTAGGGCAAAGTTCAAGAAGCTGAGGGAGGTGGCGTGGCACTTTCATTTCAATGCGTGCACCATGACAATCCCAGTACTGTCAGCAACTTGGAAATTCATCTAATATTGTTCAGATTTTTGTAGGGCTTGATCTCCAGCCCCACTTTTCCCCTCACCCTTTCCTGAAGGCCTGGAAGTTCCCATTCTCTATAATCGTTTGGTCTTTTAGGTTATTAGTCCCATCCTCACGCTATTCACAGGGAGTCTACCCTAAATCACCGCATTGAAAACGCATGTATTATCAAAGGAGCTCATTAGGAGTAACAACACACTCCCGCCACACAGGAAATCTCGGCGGACTTAGCTAGACTGGCAATGAAACTAGTCTCTCTGATTCAGCTCTATCCTGGTTTACACGTAGATGTCCTCCCAAGCCTCATGCACACACAGGTGGGGCTCCCGGGAGGAGAGCGGATCACGAGTGTGTGATATTCGTCAGGTGGATTAGTCCAGTGACGCTTTACAGCTAAATGTGATGTAGGGGGCTGAAGCCTAGTTGCAGGCACGTGTGTCACTGGCCCATGGCCTGAAGGGTCTATCTCCCTCCCTCCTCCTGATCTCTCTCTGCTGTCCGCCAGCAGGCCATGAGCTCTTTCTCCTCTGCTGGGCCCCTCTGCCATGCTGCCCTGCTTTGGAGCCAGCTGCCTATGGAGAGAAACTTCCACAAACTAACCCTTTCTTCCTCAGGTACGGATGTCAGGTATTTTGTCCCAGTGAGGAAATAACTAAAGCTAGCTCTTACCCATTACATACTCGACCCAGCAGCCACAGTGATCCTTTTAACACAGTAACTCAGGTGACATCACCATTCTGCCCATCTCTCTGCTATGATTCCTGCCCCTCATTTCACCCAGAATTAAAGTCAAGAGACCTTACTGCGGTAAGACCTGCCTTGGGCTAGCTCCCGTTATTTTTCTGCCCCATCTTCTATCACTCTACTCCTTCCTCAAACACAGCTCTGCAGGTTTCACTGCCAACAGCACAAACACGACAAGCAGCTCCCACTCTCACTGGTCCTGGTGCTACTTCTCCCCTTGCCCGGAAGACAGTTCTCTTCCTCTCAAAGGCCTTTGCTCCAATTTCACTTTCTCAATGAAGCACTCTGCTTACCACTTTACTTATAATTGCAAAGTCCTCCTGACACTCTAGTGGCCACTGCTTAATTTTTCTCTACAATACTTTCTATCACCCCGAGGGAAAAAAAAAGGTACTGTTTATTATCTTTATGGCTTTTCTACTTCAGAACATAACCTCCTTTGGGGGGGCATTTCTGTTTCAGTCATCACTGCATTCAGAAGAGTACCAACAACAGTGATACACATAGGGAATAAATGTATAAATAAATGTTTTCTTTCAAATTCCACCCAGAAAAGTATCGACCAACGGCCCTGGAATTTAGTCTAGTATTTTCCAAATTGAATTAGTCACCAGACTCATCCTCTAAAGTTAAAAATCTAACCCAATTCTGTGCCAACTCCACTGAATCAGCATCTAGGGGGTAAGACCAGAAATACTTTTAAGAGCCCTCCAGGTGATTCTGATGAACTGCTAGTTTCACTGGAGTAAACAGATCTGACATTAGAAGACTACATTCCAGTCACGCTCTGCCACTTTAAGACGATCTTCTCTTCCTCAATCCTCTAAATCTGTTGTCTTTTTTGCAGTGCTGGGGATCAAAGCCAGAGCCCTGTGCACGCGTGGAAAGCAGGCTACCACTCAGCCACATCCTCAGCCCTGCCTCTTTTCTCACTTGAAAAAATGGGAATATCTATCTTGCAAACGTTTGAGAATTAAATGTGTACAGTTTCATGAATGGTTAAGTATAATAAAATGTTGAGTAGTAGGAATTTAATGACCTATATAAAGTGGATGGATGGATGGATAGATGGACAGATGGATAGACTGATAGATAAATACTACTAGATACAAATTACTATAATTTATAATTCTATATAATTCTAAAAGATATTTACAGTCTTTTTAAGTACACAGTATTTAGCACAGAGTATGCAGTGTTTTTAGACTAACCAATTTCTAAAATACTCTCCCAGGTTAATTAGAAACGATAATTTTTTCAATCAGTCCCTAAATTAACTAACCAAAGCAACGGGAGAGTAAGTACTATATGCTAATAGCTAAAAAGAACCCCCACAAAGTTTTAAAAAAAAAAAGTACCAACTCAGGATTCTAAATGGTAAAAATAACTGTTTAAAACTGTTAAACCGAGCCGGGCGTGGTGGTCACACCTGCAATCCCAGCACTCGGGAGGCTGACATAGGAGGATCGTTGCGAGTTCAAGACCAGTCTGAGCTACAAGGTGAGTTCAAGACCAGCCTGAACTGCACAGTGAGACGCTGTCTCAAAACACACACACAAAAAACAAACAAACAGAAACTGTTAAACTGCTTAAAACTGTATACTAACCAGGTTCACAACGTCAAATTATGTATTACAAATCTATACTCTATAAGAAATACAAAATGAGTAAAAAAATTATGAACAAAAAAGCAAAAGGTTAAAACCTATACAGTATGTACAATAATACTTTACCTGCAGATCCTCACACAAAAAGATAGATTCTTGAAAACTAATTCGGTAAGTCTTTAATGCTTTTAACTTTCCCTTCTCTCTACAAGCAGGACAATATCCATCTGATGTAACTTTAGCTGAATCATAATTCTAAAAGAGAAATAAAGCAAATTAAAATAGAGACATACCTAAACTACATCTAATTACAAACGGTGAAATGGAAAGGTAACCAGAAACAACAATTTTCAACAAGCATCTCAGCAAGACTACATATGGCAAATAAGACAAATGCATATAAGGTTTTAAATACAGCTATTATTCAGAAAAGAGTATTACAGTTTTAAAGACTAAACATTAAGTTTTAAATGATAACAACAGCATCAGTTTCATTTTCAAGGAAAAAAGTAACATCAAGGGCCAGGCAACATCTATGTTTCACATTCTCAAACAGTAAACTATAAAGTCTATGCTCTATTTCTACTTTCATACATCAATCAAATACAAAGAGGTAAACAATCTTTCGCCATTGCTGTAAGATTTCCGTGGAAGATACACCATTTTTAGAATTGGTAAAATTAAAACCGAATTTAAGTCTCCAAAATAGAAGGGGGCAAAAAAAACTTTGCACTGAGGCAAGAAATAAGTTCACTAACTTTTCCCAAATACCCCACCATGGGGAGTGAAGATATCCCTATATCAGGCCCTTGTCCAATCACTGGCAAACCATTTCCAATCTTCGAAGAATCCATCATTCCGAGTCTTTGGCTAATTTATGTCACTTGAAACATGTCAATATCACTAAGGATTTTTCAATGAACCCTGGAAAAAAAAAGTCAATAGACAATTAAATAAAAATCCTATTTACAAGAAAAAGCCATTTTTTAAAAGAAATATATGTCCCAGGATAGCCATATCCTAAAATTGTGATCTTGAAATTGAAAATACCTAAATTTATTTATATATTTAGCAAGTAATAGGAAAAGGGTAGAAACTAGCTACAGGTTTTATTTTCACATGCAACACAGGTAAGCAAATTAAACAAAACTTGTAGTACTGGGAGCTACTATGTATTTACAGCAAACTATACTGACCAGAGCTTGAAAACCTAAATTTTTAAGTGTCTCTGCACAATTAAAATCAAACATGTCCACATTATGAGAAAATACCCAAAACCCTCCAGATTCATTATTTAACAGGAATAAAAGAACCAATGAATCGCTGTGTCACTCATCCCTATTTTTAACCAATACTTCACCAGCTGAGAATTTTGTTTTGTTTTTTTGAGACAGGGTCATGCTCCCTAGGTCAGGCTAGCCTCCAACTTACGATGATCCTCTTGCCTCAGCCTCCTTACAGGAATGTGCCATCACGGCTAAGAATGTTACTTTTTAAAACTTGCCAACACCAATTTATGTTTATGTGATCTACACTAGAACAAAACATATAAACACTGCCACAGTACAAATTAACACATGACAAGCTTGTTCTGAGTGTAGTCCTGTGAAGTAAAACCATATCCCGTGGTCAAAATTACAAGGTGAGGACAAGTGTAGGGAAAATGCTGTTAAAAGCAATTTAAACATGAATTTAAAATACAGCCAAATCACACGTAAGAACCCTTTAAAGGGAAGAAAATTACCACTTAGCAAAGATGTAAAAACTTCAAGCAGAAGTCTTTCCAAGACCTAAAAATCTTTCTACAGCAACCGTATTCTGGGATTTGACGGCTCATCATTCTCTCTAAAAACTAGCTATGCTATTGTGCTCTAACTGTATAACCTCACACACCTTTCAAGCCAAGGAATAATTTCAAAACTAAAAATTCTTTTTTAAAAAGTCAGCATCAATGAGTCTTAATTTCCTGTTCCTGAAGAAAAAATCCTAAGACGACGTTTCTCAAAAATTACAGCACCACGTCTTGGATAACTTTTTGTTGTAGGAATTATCCTGTGCACTGCAGAATGTGTAGGAGCTCGCTGACGTGTACCCACCAAACAGGTCTCCAAACACTGCCAAAATGCCCCTGGGGCAAAAGCAGCTGACCGAGGACCGCCTGGAGGGTTATTCCCAGTAGGGTGTTTTTCATTTTTTCGGCTTCTCACAGACAACCCCACCTTATCATCTTTGGCTGCTTCTACTTGTAATTTACTTATAAAAGGGACTTACAGGGTCTAAGAAAGTCAAATTTATACGGTTCCGAAACAGTAAAAAAGTAAGCTTTGCCTTGTACATGAGTCCCAAAACTTATCTCTAAAACTGGTCTAAGAATTAAATGAGATAATGCGCCACACCTGATAAGTAACAAATTATAGCTACTATTTGGTGCTAATTTTATACTTCACTATGTAAGCAATACGCAGTGTATCATTCTACACCGTTCTCAGTAGAGAATTTGATAGACTATGTATCTCAAGTAAATCGTTTTTCATAAAAATTTCCAGCTGCCTAAGGGATCCAGGTACTCCTCTTTTCTCAATTACACGAGATAAACAGAAGACGCCCTCAAAACTGCCCCCCAGATTCCACCACCATCACTTCAATGGGAAAATCAAGTAGGCAGGACCCGCAACAGAAAATTCAAAATGAAAACACAAAAAGCCACCTAGGTCTTCTTTCAAACACAAAAATCCTGGGGTGATTCTTAAATGTAACACGTACCTAAGTAACTGCCTCCACTCTCTTCCCTTCCAAAGTAACCTGCTCCTGCTCCCCGTGATCGCAACATACATCTCAAATACAACACTAGCAAGTTTGAATCCTTCTCAGCTCTTGTATCCCTCGCTTTCACATAAGTAACCAAATTCCGTTATCAGGTCTTTGGAAAATGCTTCCTCTCTTCCCATCCCACATCACTGTGAAAACACGCGCGCTACGACTCCCCGAAACAAGCCCGAGTCTACCTGCGCTCAGCTTGGAATCACCCATTTACCGAGCCTGCTTCTAGGCAGATCTGTGCAAGCAGCTCGGTAGCACGACCTAAAAGTTCACTGCACGAGCGGATCGCCCTAGCCTTCTCTGCCTCTACTTCATTCACCCAGCACCTTTCCTCTGGCAGCCTCTTTTCAGCACTTCTGTAAGCCCAGAGCCCCTGCCCGGTATGCACCCAGTCGCGGGGCGGCGAATGCGCAGCGCAGGTGGCCCTAGGAACTGGGGAAAGTATGCAATCAAACTTAATTCACGCGCCCGTGGGCAAGGCGGGGAACCCGGAGAAAGCGCTGCTCGGAGGGAGGCCTCGGCTCTTGGAGCGCTGCGCTCCGGGACCCAGCAGGCTCGGCACGCGCCCCGCGGCAGCGAGGCTCCGGCTGCAGAAGCGGGTCGGCTCCGGGCCGCGGCCCCGCCGGACACCGATCCCCTGCGGTGCGGGAGCCGAGACCCGCGGGACCGAGCGAGAGGAGCTGCAAAGCTACCCCGGAAAGCCGATCCGCTAGCCCTGCCGTCTGCACGCTCCTGGCGAGGGGGAAGCGGACTCTGGTGTCTCTTCAGCGTTTACCTCCCTGCGCCAGCCCGACCCGCACCGCCCGCTCCGCGCCCTCCCACCCGAGCCCCGGCCCGGCCCGGCCCACCCGCCCGCCGGACACCCAGGCTGCTTTCCTCTCTCCATTTCGAGCGCCGAAGGAAACTACTCCCTCTTTCCCCTTACCTGCCCCGAGCACTCCCCTTCTTCGTACCGGGCCGGTCCGAACTCCTGTTCCAGCTTGCGCGCCACACCAAATCGCAACGTTCAACCCACGTTCCGCGCGCACTACTCCTCCCTCACCGCCGCTCGGCCAGGAAAGCAACTTCCGGTTGGAGTCCCCAGCGAAAGAGTCCCCCTTGCCACCGCGGGGCGGGCTTGAAAAGACGTAGGCGTGGCGGGGAAGGCGAAGACCGGAGCACTTCCGGCCGGGCTCCGCAGAGGCCTGGCTCCCCACCCAGCCGCCGCAGCAGCTTCAGTTGCAGCTGCGATACCGAGCAGGGGCGGGGCCGGTGACTACCCAGCCCCCTTTGCGTGAGTGGCTGGGTTTGGAGAGGCGACGTTTCTGGAAGCTGCTGGAAAGCGCTCGAGCGGCGGAGGTGACGCCGGCGTCAGGGGGTGGGGCGTGATTAAAACTAGTGCGCGAGCCGCTGCGGAGGGATTACGCCGCCGAGGAAAAAGACCGCAGTCATCTTTTTGCACCCGGGGCCGCGCGATCGCGGCTGGGGAGCTCGGGGTCGGCGGGATCGGAGCGGAAAAGGGCTGCCTTAGAGGCTGGGCTCGGGCGTCCCTGCGGCGCCGCGGTCTCCACAGCGGAGCAGCGCCGGGCGCCGTACCCGCTCCGTAAGCCTCGGGGAGGCCGAGTGCTCAGTGCGCGTTCACAAAGGGTCACCGCACACGGAACCGCCCCTCCCTCTCCCTAAACCCCACCTTCTAGGCTAGGGACTTTTCTACCCGGCTCCTGGGTGGCTCTGGTTCCCGCCCTCCCCGATCTTCTCACGGTAAGGAGAGTCGTGAAAGCACAGGGACCTGGCTCTCCGTAACCCGCCTGATGCAGAGCGGCCGGTCTGCCCCTGCTGCGCTCGTTCCAGCTGCCCTTACTCGTTTGGACTTCCGAGAAAGGGGAGTTGACATTGTAGTTGCTAAGTTTTCAGATTGCTTTTGTAGGTTGGTCATGTGGCTTAAGGGGCATCGTGACTGCGGCTGCTGTGTCTTGAGTTGGTGTTCTAATTTTTGAAAGCAACTTACTCCTGAAGTCCTTTGGGGCGATTGTTTCTGTGCCTTAGGATTTTACTTTCTAGTTTCTGACTGTTTCTTTACAGAGGGACCGCGACTGGCAGTTTAGTCTGTGCTTTGGATTTGGGGGAGAACCTGGATTTTTGCTGTTGGTTTTTAGCGTCCTTATATGATTCTGGAATAATACTGGTAACTGATAGGACGGTGTGGGGGAACCAAGTCATATCTATAAAGAAATTCTCGAGTGAAAAAGGATTTTAGTTTGTGGTACTTGTAGATGGTCAAGAAATCCCAACAGTTTGTTGGGAGTTTGTTTTTTTTTTCCCCCTCCAGCCAAAAATAGATTACTTTTTGCTTGTTTTTGTACTGGTACTAAATTATCCATGTACTGATGTATTTGTTAAGGTCTAGTTAGGTGTTCTTTTTTGGATTATAATGAAAATTTGCGAACTAGTACTCCCTCTTGACATAGTAGCCAAAATTCGGTTTTTCCTTGCACGTCATTGCTATTTCCATTTTTAGAGTAAAATACACCTTTTCTGTGATAAACAGTGAATACTAACTCAAATGTAAGGAAACAATTGGCTGAGCTAAACTGTGGCCAAAATTACAAGATTGCAAAGCAGCATTGCCAAACTGAATTCAGAAATCAAACATTGTCATCTAAAAAGTTGATTTATAGTCTTTATACTCTTCTAGTGCAAATTTTACTTCTCTGACCACTGCCCCCGTGGAATAATGAGAAGAACAAAATAGAAATGGGGCCTGGTTTGTGGAGAGAAAGGAAAAGATTTTAGTTTGTGCTGTTTTGACTTGGGAGTTTGTCCCCTTGTAAAAAAAACAGGGAAAATCTTGAAATATAGAGAGATTTTGATATAGAAGATTAGGAAAAGTTGAGTAGAAAATTTTCGTCTCAAACCCGGCGTGGTGGCGCATACCTGTAATCCCAGCACTCGGGAGGCTGAGGCAAGAGGATCGCTGTGAGTTTGAGGCCAGCCTGGGCTATAAAAATGAGTTCAAGACCACCCTAAACAGCGTAGTGAGACCCTGTTTCAAAAAGACAAAAAGAAAAAAGAAAATTTTCCTCTCATTGATATTAGATAGTAAGAGTGCCAAATTGACAAATTGTATACATTTCTGCTTATTTCTTACCAATGCGTTTGAAATTCCTTCCCTCCATACAGTGATGCTGAAGAGTATAGGCACCTTCCAGTGGGTGAAAGCTCATTGCCTCCACCTTTTTGTCAGCAGTATGAGACAGAAATTCTGTTTACTGATTTCCATTTATATACACATTTCCTAAAACGAAGCCTTTTGGCCTTGATTTATTTGTTAAACCAATAACTAATGAATAACTACAATAGGAGTACAATGCCACGCAGGATTTCCTCTCTTTCTCTCATTTTCTCTTCTCATGATGTCACCTCTTGCAAGGTTGAATTCGTTAACCAAAACAAAAATCTGTGGCTCAAACTTGATGTATAAGCTGCCTGCTGTGATTGCTGCTTCTAGTCTCAGCAGAAAGATGGAGTTAAAGTAACCAATGTTCCTTTCTTGTAGCAGCCTGTGAGTACAGTCTGTAATCCCTTTGAAATGAACATTCAGAAAGCTTGGAAAACCAAGTTTTTCCAGGTTGGAGACAAAATTCATTTGGTAGCAAACCAAATGTATTTGGTAGCAAAACAAAAATATAACTGATAAGCTATGTGTAGTCTTTATCTCATACATGTTTTGCTAAAACCAAAGTTTGATTTATGGAGTGCTGCTCTTGGCCACTGGTATGTGGACTGTTACAATTGGTTTGTGTACCTTCTAACATTTTTTTAAATTTTTATTTTAAAGAAAATAGTACAAAAAAAATAGCAAAATACAAACAAAATAAAGCAAGGACATTAAAAATGATACAGAGTTTCAAACCAAATGACAGTGGTTGTTATATTACATATTGGTATTTTCAACGAAGTTGCTCAGATTACCAGATGTAAGAATAGAAGATTAATCAAATCATCAATAGAGCCAAAGACAAAAATCACATGGTCATCTCAATTGACGCAGAAAAAGCTTTTGATAAAGTGCAACACTTATTTATGATAAAAACCTTACAGAAAATTGGTATAGATGTACTTTACCTCAATGTGATAAAAGCCATCTGTGACAAACCTTCTAACAGTTTTTTAGTTCCAAAAATTCTTATTTCTAAAATACATCCAGTGTCTGAACTACATAACGAAACCCTGTCTCAAAAAAACAAAAATAAATAAATAAATAAATAAGTAAATGTACATCCAGTACTGGGCATCGTGCTGCGTAGCTGTAATCCCAACACTGGGGAGGCTGAGGCACGAGAATCACTTCTAGTTCAAGGCCAGCTTCAGCTGCAGATCAAGACCCTGTCTCAGAATATAAATAAATAAACAAAAAAAAAAACATTTCCAACACTTGGGCTTTTAGTTAAGGAGTGGGAAGCTACATTAATATTTTTGGCAATAAATTTGTTTTTGTTTTATTTTAAAGAAAGTAGTAAATGAGAAACAAACAAAAAAGTAATGCAGTAGCAGCATACCAGTATCACAAACATAAACAAATCAAAGCAAGAACTGATACAGGATCTCAAGACAAAATAATATCAATCAACAGTGGTTGTTACATTACATATCACTACCCTCAACTACATTGCTCAAATTACCAGATGTAAGAATGCAAGATTGCTCAAACCATTAAAGAGAATAAGAAAATAATTCTTCAATAAAACATTAGAGATAATACAGAGTTTCACTAGACAAGATGGCAGTAGTTCACCATCTTAATTCCATTGCATATTGTTACCTTCAAATCAGTTACTCAGACCACCAGACACAAGCATGCAAAGTCGATCAGAACATAAAAAATTGTAAGCATTAACTGTTAATTTCAGTACACCATCAGACATCAGCAATACAGTCATCACAGCTATTCATATATATATTTATATTTTGCCTTTTTTCTTTTTTCCCTCACATAGCGATATATATGCACCCATGTATATAGCAGCACAATTTGTTATGGCTAAATCTTGGAAACAACCCAGATGCGTATCCACTGAGAAATGGATAAGAAAGTTGTGGTATTTTTATACTATGGAGTATTACTCAGCTATTAAAAAGATAAACTCAAGGCTTTTGTAGGTAAATGGATGCAACTAGAGACCATACTCATAAGTGAAATAAACTTGTACTAGACATTTGTATATTTAAGAAAATTAACATAAGATACTTTAGTACTTGCACTCTGAATTTAGTTATGATTCAAAAAATACATTTATTATGTAAGCTGTATTTGTGCAGTTATAAAGGGAGGCACAGGTTGTTTGTAAGTAACCATATAGTTATCCAAAGGAAATATAACAGTAGTTACAGGGATTAAGGTTGTTTTCATATTATAGACTAAAATTTCGACAATACAATGACCATAATGTAGTCCAAATTAACTTGGTTCCATTTTTCCCACATAAAATGGGGAAATAGTATGATAAAGAGTCCTACAATAGGGCATATTCCATCTCTTCTGCTATGTGACTTTTCACAAGTCTCTGAGTTTTGAAAGCATTGGTTTACACATCTATAAAATGAGAAGTTTAGAAAAGATGGATACCTTACGGAATGACCCTTGTAGTTTGAACATTCCAACTACAGATACTAACTCTTAGAATTATCGCTTACTTTTAAAAAATGTTCTCCACTAAGAACATGATCACATTTCATCTCAAACTGTTATCATGCTGATTTAAACGTTTTGTTATACACATAGTTCAGAAATCAAAAGTATATATTGAAAAGTTACTACAACACTTGCACCTCAATCACCAAATTCCCTGTCTATGTCTAGGAAGCAACAAAGACCAACAGTTTGTTGTATATTTTTTGGGAAAAAAAAAAGTGTGTACAAGCAAATAGTATGTTTTATTTTTCCCTTTTTAAACATAAGTGGTACACACTGTGCACACTTTACCTACCTATTCATTCACCTTAGAAATTATTCTCATTATTTTATAAGGGGTTTCCCCTTATGGCTGCATAATACTCTGTTGAACTTTTGTGTCATTTCATCAGTCTGGTCTTTT